TCTTTACAAATATTTGAAAAAAAGTTTGCACATACACATTAATATCTGCGTATCTAGATATACATAGCCGTTAACATAGTAACCCACCAGTTTCAATAAAGTAGTTTACAGCTAACGAAGTTATAGACAATATACAGTAAACTACGGTTATAACGAACATGCTTATAACGAACTGACGGATATAACGAACTATTTTTTGGGTCATGTCTTTTTGCTGTATATATTCCGTACATTTGCAACGAACTATGGTTATAACGAATTAAAATTAGTGGTCCCTTTGAGTTCGTTATAACCGTAGTTTACTGTATTACAGTCTGGCATATTTGAATGGCGACGTGTTAAAACTAGTTTTCAAAATGATTATATGGCAACAATATTGGCGACGGAAAGAAAATTTTTAAGCAAATTTTTAAGCAACCCATGCTTGCCGTAAAAGGTGACTATGCTTGTCGTAAAAGGCGACTAACGGAATCGATTGGTCAGGCTCGCTGACTTGGTTGATGCATGTCATTGATCCCAATTGTGTGGATCGATGTTCATGATGTAAATCATTGGATTGTCTGGTCCAGACTCGATTATTTACAGACCGCCATCATATAGATGGAATATGGAGTGCGGCGTTAAACAACAAACAAACTAGTAAAGGGTTATATTAAATATTAGAAGCTGTGGGAGTATTGGAAAATGTTTATTAGAGCTTTCAAGTTAGGATATTATTTTCGGTATTTAATCTTGACGTATAAACGAAGTATGTCAACTGCAAAGTCAAACTAACGGTTCGGATAACTCATTTAGTAGGGTAGGGCGCTGCTTATCCTCCTTCACCGGCATTAGTCCGGTATAAGCACACACACACACACACACACAGTGAGAGAGAGAGAGAGAGAGAGAGAGAGAGAGAGAGAGAGAGAGAGAGAGAGAGAGAGAGAGGGAGAGAGAGAGAGGCACACACACACAGAGGCACACATTGATACACACAGAGACAGAGAAACACACATACACACACACACACTGATACACACACAGACAGAGAAACACAACACACACATACACTCACACACACAGACAGAAACACAAACATAAACTGACACACACACACTGATACACAGAGGCACACACACTGACACACACACATAGACAGAAAAACACACTGACACACAATTATACACACATACACACACACTGACACACACACAAAGAAACACACACACACACACACACAGACAGAAACACTGACACACACACACACACACACACAAACACACACACGTGTACGTCCTATGTTCGTGAACTAATTTTGAACGTGGCATCAAAACCCATATCACTTCTCCTTATGTTTCCCAAAGCCGACCTTCACATACAAACTGACCAATCGGTGGAGAGCCGCTGGCCAATCACATGTGAGAACGTGCGCACACCCTTTTTAGGTCATCACAACATGTTGATCGATATATATTGTGGGACTTGTAAAGAGGCTATCTGGGGTTTGGCATCTGTGATTTAGAAACAAACTTACCCTTAACCGAATTTATTAAGTAACGATATCTGAAAATAAACCTTGACACATTACATTTCACTGACTGGTCGCCGCACGGTATTGTTATATGTTCCATCAGTCACGTCCAGGAAGGGGGGGGGGGGGGGGGGGGGGTGTCATGGAGTACACAAACAAAAGGCGTTCTAACCTAGATTGACACGTAAGATTAATACCCTGCACACACACGCACACACACGCACGCACACACGCACACACACACACACACACACACACACACACACACACACACACACGCGCACACACACACACACACACACACACACACACACACACACACACACACACACACTACTCTATTCCCTCAATGATATATATAGTATACAAAAAAATATAACATCCTTACTTCTGTATAGTGTAGACGATGGAACATAATATCCCCACAGCTGTATCGAGATTACATGTGATATCTCGACAACTATATGGTATTTGAGGTGCGATATAAAATCCCCACAGCTGTATAGTATATACGATGAGATATATCCCCATAGCTGTATAGTATATACGATGAGATATATCCCCACAGGTGAATAGTATATGAGATTAGATATAATATCCCCACAGCTGTATAGTATATAAGATGAGATATAATATCCCAACAGCTGTATAGTATATAAGATGAGATATAATATCCCAACAGCTGTATAGTATATGAGATGAGATATAATATCCCCACAGCTGTATCGTATATAAGATGAGATATAATATCCCAACAGCTGTATAGTATATGAGATGAGATATAATATCCCCACAGCTGTATAGTATATAAGATGAGATATAATATCCCCACAGCTGTATAGTATATAAGATGAGATATAATATCCCCACAGGTGAATAGTATATAAGATGAGATATAATATCTCCACAGCTGTATAGTATATAAGATGAGATATAATATCCCCACAGCTGTATAGTATATAAGATGAGATATAATATCCCAACAGCTGTATAGTATATGAGATGAGATATAATATCCCCACAGCTGTATCGTATATAAGATGAGATATAATATCCCAACAGCTGTATAGTATATGAGATGAGATATAATATCCCCACAGCTGTATAGTATATAAGATGAGATATAATATCCCCACAGCTGTATAGTATATAAGATGAGATATAATATCCCCACAGGTGAATAGTATATGAGATGAGATATAATATCTCCACAGCTGTATAGTATATAAGATGAGATATAATATCCCCACAGCTGTATAGTATATAAGATGAGATATAATATCCCCACAGCTGTATAGTATATAAGGTGAGATATACCCCCACAGCTGTATAGTATATAAGATGAGATATAATATGCCCACAGCTGTATAGTATATAAGATGAGATATAATATCCCCACAGCTGTAAAGTATATAAGATGGGATATAAATCCCCACAGCTGTATAGTATATAAGATGAGATATAAAATTCCTACAGCTGTGCAGTATATAAGATGAGATATAATATCCCCACAGCTGTAAAGTATATAAGATGGGATATAAATCGCCACAGCTGTATAGTATATAAGATGAGATATAAAATTCCTACAGCTGTATAGTATATAAGATGAGATATAAAATTCCTACAGCTGTGCAGTATATAAGATGAGATATAATATCCCCACACCTGTAAAGTATATAAGATGGGATATAAATCGCCACAGCTGTATAGTATATAAGATGAGATATAAAATTCCTACAGCTGTGCAGTATATGAGATGGGATATAAATCCCCCTACATCTGTTAAGTATATAAGATGAGGGATAATACACAACAATCAGGGTGACCTCTTAATCATACAGATCTTCAAGGGGTCAATTTATATAACCCTGTAAATTCAGCTAGAGCATTCCCGACTTGTTTTCACCATTGTATGCGTAGATGTCACGTGAATTCACTCATCAAGCTGTCCTTGTTGAACGCTGTTCACCCAGCTGGGTTTCCGTACAATGTGACACTGGGTTTTCAGGTCCATCACCTAACTGTCTGGTCCATCACCTGATTGTCTGGTCCTCGCCTGATTGTCTGGTCCATCACCTAACTGTCTGTTCCATCACCTGATTGTCTGGTCCATCACTTAATTGTCAGGTCCATCGCCTGATTGTCTGTCCTATCACTTGATTGTCAGGTCATCATTTGATTGTCTGGTCCATCACCTGATTCTCTGTTCTATCACCTGATTGTCTGGTCCATCACTTGGTTATTTACAGGCCGCCGAGTCATGAGTCCTGCTGTGCGTCTTAAGCAGCAAACATTTAGTTATGACGCACGTTGTGTGAGTGGCCAGTGCTTTCCCTTTTCGCGGACCTCTGGTGTCATCACTAATTTTTTGAACCGTGAAGATCCGGGGTAGAATAGGTCTTCAGCAACCCATACTTGCCGTAAAAGGCAACTATGCTTGTTGTAGTGAGTGATTGACGTGGGTTTAACGCCGCTTTTAACAGTATTCCAGTTATATCGCGGCGTGTCAGCTTAATGTGGGAGGAAAGCCCGAAGTGATGCAGGTCTCAGACGTTTACCACTTCGGTGAAACCCACGAGTACGGGTATGGTGCTGACAAACCTAGAAACATAATCGGGGCGAACCAGGATTCGAACCCCACAATCATAGGTTTCTGGCGTGCCCAAGGGACGCAACTCTGCACCGCGAATCGCGGCGCCTTAGAAGACTGGGCCACCCGTGCCCCCCCACCACCCCACCCCACAATGCTTGTAAGAGGAGACTAACGGGATCGGGTGGTCAGGCTCGCTGACTTGGTTGATGCATGTCATTGTTTGTTTGTTTGTTTGTTGTTTAACGCCGCACTCAGCAATATTCCAGCTATATGACGGCGGTCTGTAAAATAATCGAGTCTGGACCAGACAACCCAGTGATTGACATCATGCGCATCGATCCACGCAATTGGGATCGAGGACATGTATCAACCAAGTCAGCGAGCCTGACCACCCGATCCCGTTAGTCGCCTTTTACGACAAGCATAGTCTGACCAAGGGTCGAAAGATGAGTAATGCCAACTGAGGCGCACAATAACAAACAAACAGCAATCTGACCATTTATCCCTGGATTGTCTGGTCCAGATTCGATTATTTATGAAAAATAGCTGGAATATGGCTGAGTGCGGTGTTAACTAACATTTGTTTGTTTGTTTATTTTTTGTTTAACGCCGCATAATTTTCCAGCCATGTGACAGCGGTCTGTAAATAATCTAGTCTGGACCAGACAATCCATTGATTGATGGTCATGAGCATCGATCCACGAAATTTGTATACGATGACATGGATCAACCAAGTCAGCGAGCCTGACCACCCAATCCCGTTAGTCGCTTCTCACAAGCAGAGTCGCCTTTTACGGCAAGCTGAAGATCTGTTTTACCCCGGATCTTCACGGGTCGCTTTAACAAACAAACAGATAAAAACAAACAAAAATAATGCCTATTTATTTTGACCAGGTACACAAGAAACTTGGTGGACACCGGGAACGGCAAGTACAACCTCATCATGCTGTGCTGGAATGAGTCGCAGGGAAGCAGCATCCACTCGCACGCCAATTCCCACTGCTTCATGACCGTCTTGGATGGCACCCTGCAGGAGGAGTTCTACGAGTGGCCCACCGAGTCTGAAGAAGACGCGGAAATGACGGCTGTCGGCACCAACACTTACAACAAAGGCCAGACTGCCTACATCAGTGGTAAGTAGTGAGTGAGTGAGTGAGTGAGTTGGGTTTAACGCCGCTTTTAACAGTATTCCAGTTATATCACGGCATGTCAACTTAATGTGGGAGGAAAGCCCGAAGTGAAGCAGGTCTCAGACGTTTACCACTTCGGTGAAACCCACGAGCACGGGTATGGTGCTGACAAACCTAGAAACATAATCGGGGCGAACCGGGATTCGAACCCACAATCATAGGTTTCTGGCGTGCCCAAGGGACGCAACTCTGCACAGAGAATCGCGGCGCCTTAGACGACTGGGCCACCCGTGCCCCCGTGGTAAGTAGTGAACGTGGTAGGGTGAAACGGGGTTGGATTGATTGATTGTTTGTTGTTTAACGCCGCACTGAGCAATATTCCAGCTATATCACGACGGTCTGTGACCCGTGAAGATTCCTGGGTTTCTAAGTTCCATTGTGATACGACCCGTGAAGATCCGGGGTAGAATAGGTCTTCAGCAACCCATGCTTGCCGTAAAAGGTGACCATGCTTGTCGTAAAACGGGATCGGGTGGTTAGGCTCGCTGACTTGGTTGATGCATGTCATCGATCCCAATTGAGTGGATCGATGCCTATGATATTAATCACTGGATTGTCTGGTTCAGACTCGATTATTTACAGACCGCCATAATATAGCTGGAATATTGCTGAGGGCGGCGTTAAACAACCAACCAACCACAACGGTCTGTAGATAATCGAGTCTGGACCAGACAATCCAGTGATTGATATCATGAGCATCGATCCACGCAATTGGGATCGATGGCATGCATCAACCAAGTCAGCGAGCCTGACCACCCGATCCCATTAGTCGCCTTTTACGACAAGCATAATCACCTTTTACGGCAAGCATGGGTCGATTATTTTACAGACCGCCGTCATATAGCTGGAATATTGCTGGGTGCGTCGTTAAGCAACAAACCAAACCAAACCAAGTATGTCGGATAAACGAAATTAAGTAGTATCAACGTTCGTGATCGAAAATCGGACAACTGTAGATAACGATAAAAAAACGTAATAAAAAATATAAATGAAATATTCATATGGTTATTTTACATTTTTAGCGGAATATGTTTTCTAATCATGCAACCTCTAAAGCTTGGATAGAAAGATTTATCATAACGAGTCTGATTAATGAGTGATTTCGGTAATTCGTTGCAAATTAGATGTGTCGGAGTCGGAGTGCGAGACTGTCGAATTAACGGGTCTAAATAACACTGATTCAATCGGTTCCCATCATTAGTGAGGGATAAAGCTGATTGTCGGACTAACGAGACTTGACTGTAGTTGTACATCAACATTAGCTCACTCTTTTACTGTCCTTTTTCGACAGATTTTAATGTCTATATGTATTAATATTTAACTTGATTATACTATATGGCTGAAATATTGCCGATGTGACTTTAAATCGTAACTCACAGTAGTATATAACGGGTCGCCAGAAGGTCATTTTGGTTGAGGGAGGTTGAGGGAAAATAGGGAAGGTGATTGGCTGATCCAAGTCACGTGATCAGAAAGGATGACTCATGGATCAACAGCGCGTCGAGAAAGGGGGGGGGGGGGGGAATGAAAGGTGTGTGTTTTTAAGGCAGAAAAGAATTCATGTGTATATACTACTACTCACTCCCTCACTATCAGTCCACGAAGTACAAGTGTCCGGTTTTACTTTCAGATGAACTCGGCCTTCATCGGGTAGAAAACCCGAGCCACTCCGATCGGGCAATCAGCCTTCACCTGTACTCGCCACCATTCGACGAATGTGAATGTTTTGACCAGAAGACGGGACACTGCACAAAATCCAAGGTCACCTTCTGGTCTAAATTCGGCAAGAGGACGCCATTTGTAAGTTTGTTTTTTTATTTGTTGTTTAACGCCGCACTCAGCAATGTTCCAGCTATATGACGGCGGTCTGTAATAATCCAGTTTGGACCAGACAATCAAGTGATTGACTGGCTATAATATCAGACCGCCTCTGTGGTCGAGTGGTAGAGCGTCCGCCCGGAGAGCTGAAGGTCGGGGTTCAATCCCCGACTGCGTCATACCAAAATCCGTTAAAAAATGGTATTTGTTGTCACCCTGCCTGGCGCTCGACATTAAGGGGCTGGTCGGCTCGGAGTCAGTACACTGTGTCAAAAATCGGCATTAGTCCAACCACACACACACGTGCATGCACGTCGCTATATAAGTTCAATAATCTTGATTTTGACGGAAACCCCATTTCACCTCACCTCATAATATCAATCACTGAAATGCCTGACCCTGACTATATGTACCGGCGTCCGTCATATAGTTTTTTTGTTAACAAACGTACTCAGTAATATTCCAGCAATATGACGACGGTCTGTAAATAATCGAGTCTGGACCAGACAATCTAGTGATTGACATCATGAGCATCTATCTGCGCATTTGGGATACGAACAAATGCATCAGCCAAGTCAGCGAGCCTGACCACCCGATCCCCTTAGTCACCTCTTACAAGCATGGTTTCCTGAAGACAATTTCTTACCCGGGGGGCGGTGTATAAAATGTGTAAATAATCGAGTCTGACCTAAACCATTGTTGCAGGGAAGGGCAGAGACAGCAATGACACCCGAAAACAACTAGACTGTCAACTGAGGTCTGTTCGACGGTCACCCGCGCACACAGATTAACAAGGGAGAACCCCCGTATATTACAGATAGAAATTCTACTGCAGGGATTGATTATAGCGTAATATAGAAAGTTATAGAAATTCGCAATTGTCCAGGGTATTAAGTCTTCTTTTACGAAAAAAACCTCGACCAGCCCCCATCAAAGCTTCGTTCCGGAAGTGACGTCATTTCTATATCTCTTTTCAGTCCTTCAGCACCGAATGTCTCTCGCTCATAAGTGTGATTTGATTGGACGGCTATTTTTAGCATCATGCCATTTGAAGGGTCTTAAACAGAAACTATGCAAGTGGGTTGGTCGAGTTTATTTTTCATAATAGAAATGAAATACCCTGGATAAGGAAAATGGTATTGTAGTATACCTATCATGTAGATTGTGTTATAATATATATGGTTATTAATCGCAACTATGTTTACAATGTAATAGAGGCAAGACTTCTTTAGTTTTGGTGTACAGATTTTTATACTGAAAAATGTGGTCGGTAGGTCAAACATGCTTTGTACATGATTTTTCAAGTTTGATTTGGATCTGGAGGTGATAGATTTATAACGACGATTTATCGTTGGAATCTGATCTATTTTAGTTGTATATAAATCTCTTGGGTTATTTTTAGTGTCAGGCAATCTTTACCGTTGGCGTTATTTAAAAACACCTCGTCATTCTGTTTGTTTTGTTTGTGAATTTTCGATTTGTAAGGTCGGCAGATCCATAAATCAAGCAAACCAAAATTGTAAGGCCTTATTTATATTTGGATTATGTCATGACAATTGCAACCAAATTGCTGTGCTGGAGTCAAATAGACAACAAATAATGTGTATTCTTGTAAAACAAATTGACTTGTGAAATGACCAGAAATGTTATTCGCACTTGAACTTGAAATCAACATAAAAAGTTCAGTTCTCAGTCAATCTCATTAAAATCAGATCTTAGTTCTCGCTACCGCTAAACAAAGGTCTTAGGACATCCCATTAGGGTTCACGTCAGAACGACCTTTCATCCGACCAATCAGAGCGTCGCTTACCAGATTATGAAAGTGACAGTCGGAATGTGATTTCTAATCATGCAGCCTCGAAAACTTTAAAACGGGGTATTCCGAACGATAGTTACGGGCTTAACGACTGAATCTATACAATCTAGACCATATATTAGCCATTCCAGAATATTCTTTTGTTCAGGTTTCAAATTTTTAAGCGAGATTTCGTTAAAATATGTTTCGAAGCGTAGTCGCCAATTTGAAATTAGTGCCGTAAAGCACGAGAAAGCTGCCTTCTGATTGGCTAATATCAACTTCTGGTCAGTAATTCCATTGGTCGGTCAGAGTTCGCGAAAGGTCGGTCTGACGTGACCCGTAATGGGATGTCCTCATTTCTTTGTTTAGCGGTAGCGAGAACTGAGAACTGAGAACTGAGAAGATCTGATTTTAATGAGATTGGTTCTCAGTGAAAATCCTTTTTGCACGTTTGAGATAATATGCTATTATTTTAATATACGATACTGTTTTGTCCCATAGCGTGCCTTACTGTTAAAAAATATACTGTCTCAATTGTATGTTGATTGTTTTATACTGTTATTAATTGGCATCGAGTTTGGTCGAATGGGTCGGACCATCAGCCCTAATTGTGATTTAAAGGAAATGTTGTTTTCGTATATATGTAAATGGATATCTATTTCCACAGCTCAATACTAAAGTATTACTTTTTTCTAATGATGTGCGAAGCCAGTGTGTCACGTACAGATAACAGGACTGGTGTTGATTATTTTATGACGCTTCGTAAGACACTCGGGGTCACTCGGGTGAAGTCGGCTGATTCCGCTCTCACATAACAGAAGTAGTGCGTGCGTTCGATTATTAAATTTTGAGTTACCTAAGTCAACAGAGGTTGCCACATTTCTGACAACCAGGGTTGACTTGATTCAACCAGGGTGAACCAGTGTTTATCAAGGCACCGAGGTTTATAAATGAGTGAGTGAGTGAGTTAGGTTTAACGCCGCTATTAACAGTATTCAAGTTATGTCATTTCGTGTCAGCTGAATGTGGGAGGAAAGCCCGAAGTGATGCAGGTCTCAGACGTTTACCACGTCGGTGAAACCCACGAGCATGGTATGGTGCTGACAGACCTAGAAACATAATCGGGGCGCACCGGGATTCGAACCCACATTCAAAGGTTTCCCAAGGGACGCAACACTGCACGGCGAATTGTGGCGCCTTGGATGACTTGGTCAGCCGTGCCCCGGGTTTTGAAATCGAACGCACGCACTGTTATTCAAGATTTCGCTGTAATCAGTGAGGCCTATTTTCAAGTCAGTTAATTGTATCAAGTCTCTGAAAGGCATTAGAAGTGATACCCATAAGGGAGAACATTGATGGATGTCAACTTTTTTGTTATGAGGAACACAACGTTTTGGAATATACGCTTTATCCTTCATCAGGTGTATATGCTTACTCCTTCATTCACCTGATATATAAGTATACACTCCGAAACGTTGTGTTCCTCATAATAAAGAACTTGACATCCGTAAATTCTCTTCCTTAGTTAATTGTATGCTTGATGGAGTTAGATTTATGTTTTATTTGAAGAAAAAGCAGAAACAGTTGGAATATATCCATTTATAGAAATATGTAAACGACTTGCGTTGGGTTGCGTTGCGTTTAGTAACGTGATGATCACGTGTATGAAACTAGTTCTGGTGTGGATTCCGCCCCCACGTAGCTGATAAATTTTTTTTTAAAAAGCACCTTGCAGGAGCATAAATATACCCAACCCCTCCCCTATTCCTCTCCCAAATATAAATAATTCGGTCCCTTATCGACCAAGTCTCCATGCACCCGAGCCATTTAGTCGCCTCATACGACATGCATCGGTTCCGGGGGCCATATCTGACCAATTCGTGACATTCGTGACCAACTCGTGTTATTCCGGGACAAGCCGAATGGCGACTCGTGCCCCTCTCATGGCCATTTTTGCAACCGGGTTCCGTCTTAGCGCAAACGGGCATATACAGTATGATTGATCACATTTAACTGTGTCTTGGGTATATTTTTAGATGCGAGACATATGTAAAATCAAAAATTAGTTCTGACGGATTCTTTGACGAAGAACTTGAAATCATACGCGCATTCTGGTTGGTTTGTCGTATTTTCGCACATTATATTCATCTCTAGAGGGACGAGTCTCCTTGCAGGTTACGGAAAGGGACGAGTGGTGACGAATATGTCTGAACACGATCGGCTATTCCCGGTGATGCGGAAAGGGTCGAGTGGTGACGAATGAATCTGACCATGACTCCCCTAGGGGAACTAATGAAATCGATTGAGACCTGTTGTATCAAGTTGTAAAATGTCTATAGGTCAACTCAAGACTTGAGATTGTATAACCAGGGCATGGTAATGTATTCAGGAAACGTCTTTATCCAAGTATGTTGCTCACTGCTGAATGGATTCCCCGGTGATGTTTGTTTCCCTACATTTCGTTCGTTTTGTTAATTTGCAGACAGCGTAGCAATATTTACGGTGTTGTGTAACTTTCAAAGCGACACTCTCTTAAAAATAAGATCTTAGTTCTCGCCATCACTAAACACAGATCTGAGCAGATCCCCATTCGTGACAGACTCGTGTTATTCCGGGACAAGCCGAATAGCGAGTCTTCTTGCAGGTTACGGAAAGGGGCGAGTGGTGACGAATGAGGAGATCCCCATTCGTGACTAACTCGTTATTCCGGGACAAGCCGAATAGCGAGTCTTCTTGCAGGTTACGGAAAGGGGCGAGTGGTGACGAATGAGGAGATCCCCTTTCGTGACCGACTCGTGTTATTCCGGGACAAGCCGAATAGCAAGTCTTCTTGCAGGTTACGGAAAGGGGCGAGTGGTGACGAATGAGGAGATCCCCATTCGTGACTAACTCGTTATTCCGGGACAAGCCGAATAGCGAGTCTTCTTACAGGTTACGGAAAGGGGCGAGTGGTGACGAATGAGGAGATCCAATTACGGGTCACGTCAGAACAACCTTTCATCCAACCAATCAGATCGTCGCTTAACAGACCAGGAGAGCGACAGTCGGAATGTGTTTTCTAATCTTGCAAACTCGAAAAATTTAACAAGGGGTATTCCGAACGACAGTTACGGGCTTTGCGGATGAGTCCATACAATATACGCCATCTATTAGCCATTCCAGAATGTTCTTTTGTTTAGTGTTCATTTAATTAATCGAGAATGTATCAAAATATGTTTCGAAGAGTTGTCGCCAGTTTGAAACTAGTGCCGTAAAGCACGAGAAAAAAGCAGTCTTCTGATTGGCTAATGTCGACTTCTTGTCAGCTCTCCATTGGTCGGTCGGTCTGACGTGACCCGTAATGGGATGTCCTCATATCTTTGCTTACAGCGGTGAGATCTGATTTTGATGAGATTGTCAAATCGAGTGATTATAGTCCGCTCATTTGATATTTCAGTGGGAGGGGATTAAACATACAGTAAACTACGGTTATTACGAACTTAAACCACTAATCTTAGTTCGTTATAACCGTAGTTCGTTAAAAGCATATACACAGCATTTATATAGCAAATGGTCGGGGCCAAAAAAAAGGTCGTGATATCCGTCAGTTCGCTATAAGCGTGTTCGTTATAAACATAGTTTACTGTACAATTTTATTCTCTGAATGGTGGAACAAAACAAACAGAGACTTTTTGGACCCACGCGATATTTTTTAACTTAAAAAACAATCAGCATTTCCCGTTTCATCTTCCCGGGGCCAGCGTTTCCACTAACCCATATCAAAGCCAAGTGGAAACAGGACTTTGATAAAACGGCTAGTGGACGCTCTTGCCTCGGAAAGATGGTCCAGTTTTCGATCTTAATTCACGAGTAAATCCTGAAGATAAATTCTTTGTCCCCCATTATTTTCGGGAATATAGTATTTAAAAGATCCCCACTCTCGGAATATCAACTGTTCGGTCCCTGATGCTTTTTTCATAGCGTTACAATAATGTCGTGATCTTTTCTTCCACAGTGAGATGTCATTTTAACATTCCATTGTTGTCCTGTTAAATATTTGGAATGTCTTGTTAAATATTGCCAACTATATACGGCATTTTTTAAAATATCTAATGGCACTGGTTTTCGAATATAATTTCACCAGAATTGTAAACATTTTATGTAAATAAATACATTTACTCAATATTTTGTTTTGGTGTCTCAAGACTACATGGATTTCAAAGAAATAAGTGGATGTTGTTTTACCACGCACGCAACAATAGCAGAGCTATTTTACAGCAGCCTATAAACAAATGACTCTGGCACGTTCGCATGCACGCACACACATGCACATTCACGCGCATGCAAACACACTTGCATGCATCCCCAAAAAGCGGTGAGTCGCCGTTTTCCGACAGTTACAGCGACTAGTATTCCGGACACACAACATTGAGAAAAACGGGGAAAAAGTGAGTGAGTGAGTTGGGTTTAACGCCGCTTTTAACATTATCCAAGTTATATCACGGCGTGTCAGCTTAATGTGGGAGGAAAGCCATAGGTTTCTGGCGTGGCCAATGTGTCCAAGGTCATTTTAAAGACGTTATCGACGGTAATTGTCGCGTTGCGTAATCGGAAGGTAGCAATTCGTGTACCTTTTCACCTGAACTACGGCAATCCCCTCGTTCTTTGGTGCTGACAGTCTGGGATGTGCGAGGGGTTCAATGTCAGTACCCGAGGGCCTTGGACCTTTTACCGTAGTTCCTCCAACAAGCACAAAGAGTGATCTTCGTTAAACAGCTTTTATTCCCACTTTGTGTTGCCGGTCAACCCACTCTATTTGTCACTTAAATACGAGACTTCGGCCGCAAAGCTTCAGTCTCAGTCGAAATGCTGGTGCTTAAGTTTGGTTTCTGGTTCGAAAGATCGTGACAACAAGCCGAGAGTGGAGCACCAGTCCAGATGTAGTCTCCCCAGCCGATCTCTCGATCTGGGCGCTTTTGCCCCTTTTTGCAGAGCACCAGTCCTGATGTAATCTCCCCAGCCGCTCTCTCGATTTGGGGGCTTTTCCCCCTTTATAAACCGGTACCTACGTCACAGCTCTACTCATTTTTCCATCTATCATTGGTCAACCACCTTTCCCCCCTACACTAGATCATTCTAACCCACTCTTGTATAATAACAAGATCCTTATTAGGACTTGTTGTAATGTGAACTCCTCAACTCCCGGAATCTGAACTATTTCCCCCCAATACCATATATGTCCCCGAGGTCAATCTCATCTAAGTTTCCTCTTTTTAACTATTTAATTTCTGGTAACTTGTATGTTCCTTCCGACGTTACTCTTATCGTTTTGCGACCGCCTCCGTGGTCTAGTGGTAAAGCGTCCGCCCGGAGAGCGGAAGGTCCGGGGTTCGATTCCCGGCCGCGTCATACCAAAAGACGTTAAAAGATTGTACTTGTCCTGGCCCTGTCTGGCGCTCGGCATTAAGGGGCTAAAGCAAGGACTGGTCGGCTCGGAGTCAGTGTACTGTGTCTGAGTGGGGTATTCATGTTAAACTGCGGCATGGTATCTCAGTGAGCTAGCACTATAAATCGGCATCAGTCCGGACTAGTACAAGCAGCCACACAAACACACACGTACATGCACGTGGTTATATAAGTGCAATAATCTTTGACGCGACGTTAAACCCAATTTCACCTCACCTCACCTTATCGTTTTGCTCTAATACTCCAGCCCTCGACCTACTACCGTCACCTCTGGTTATCAGTGGCCCAGTGTGTTTCCTGTGGTCTTCAACTCCTAACATCACCTGCCCTCAATATATCTTCCCATGTGCCTATATCTTACTGTTTTAACCCCTCAAATTGTTCAATTATATTTGTACCATATGTATTTTAATGAGTTGCTAATTACCATTATTTCATGCCTATAATACGACCCCCGTTCTGACGAAGAGCGTGTCCCCACACTCTAAGATGGTGCCAATTCTTGTTATAATATCTGGCATACATTCCATCTTATTTCTATGACTTATGGATTTAACTTCTCTTTAATAATCTAAATATGTATCACACTTTCATTCCTATAATGACGCAACTCTGCACAGCGAATCGAGCCACCAGTGCCTCCCTAAATTACTGAAGAAATATCGAAAAGTTCAATTGCTTAAAGGATATATTTTTTACGTACACAATTATATTTTTTAAGTGTTGAATCTGCGTACCAAATGCAGTTTATTTGCTTTTAGCGAACCACACTTCGAAGTCCCGATTCCATAAATATCAAGCTCGGCACACTCGGTCCATTCGTGACTAACGCGTGTTATTCCGGGACAAGCCGAATAGCGGTTACGGAAAGGGGCGAGTGGTGACGAATGCACTCGCTCCTGCCCTTCCGTTTGTATGCACTAGAGGCATATTTTACGAGAGCTTCACTTATAAGCAACGGTATCCAGTGTGTAACCCGATTCTTTGTTTTGATCTTAACATCCAGGAGACAACACAACAGGAACAACGTGATTTCGATCAGATTGCAGATAGGATCAGAAAACCAATTAATTAAATATAATAGGCTAATACCTGCGCTCCCGTGTGATACACCTAGAGTACATCTAGAACACGTAGTTGGTACTTACTAATACCTTTACATACAATTATATTATATTCAATTTAACACTTTTCATATACACATATGACCCGTGAAGATCCAGGGTAGAGTAGGTCTTCATCAACCCATGCTTGCCGTAAAAGGCGACTATGCTTGTCGTAAAAGGCGACTAACGGGATCGGGTGGTCAGGCTCGCTGACTTGTTTGATGCATGTCATCAATCCCAATTGCGTAGATCGATGCTCATGATATCAATCGCTGGATTGTCTGGTCCAGACTCGATTATTTACAGACCGCCGTCATATATCTGGAATATTGCTGAGTGCGGCGTAAAACAACAAACAAACAAACAAACAAATCATATACACGTATAATTCATGTACAATCAATCACTTTTAATTATCTTAATTATTTCTTAATTACATATACCTATAACCGGGAGAGCAACACCTGGTTCCAATCCTCCCCGTCCTAGGGAAAGAAAATGTATTACATTTACATGTTCTTGTATACCAACGGTGAGCCTCGGAACCTCCCGTTTCAACGTCAACAACTTTGCTGACATTGTGTAACATTTCACAGCTTACAGTTCTGGTTCTTCTTGAACTGTATATTGTTACAGCTCGTTGTCCTATAATAATTCTGTCAGGTAATTCTTTGTTCTCAGTTCACAGCGTTAGGGAACGCCTGGCATATTCACGTACAATTACGCCATCCCTTCCTTTTTCTTCATCCTTTAAATTGTTTCAGCCACAAAAGTTCACTTCGTAGCTGCGTAAACTAGGCTACGCAAAATCATTAGTTGATTACCTTTCCTCACTCACAGCACATTCCCAGTGAGTTCCCTGCCACTTGGCCTAGAATCTTCACTTCACCAATCTGAACGATCCTGTACCTTGATCAGGTCCCCGGTTGCATAAGTCAAGGGATACCGACGTAAGAGGCGTGACTTCGTCTTCGGACTCCCCGTCGTGGGATGCTTGTCCCTCCATTACTCGCTCGAGACGGGGCGGTGAATGTTTTCTCTTTCGACCGGTCATTCGTAGACTAAAATCTAGTCTCTGAAATGAACATATCGTACATAAAAAAACAGTTGTTTAGTTATCTTAATAAAAATATAATAAAAAGGAGCCCAGTGATACTGCAGTGATCTAGACTTGCCAAACATTATAGACTTGCATGGGCTGTATTTGATATATATTTGAATCAGGGTCTGTAAGACAGACTAGGTCATTCGTGGAGTCGGTCTTTGGGAAGCTTCCTGGGTCCGTGTGCTGGTGGGTATCGCGGGTAGGGTAATCAACTCCGACTGGGCTCTCCGGGAGATCCTAGGGTCTCTCTCTCTCTCTCAGTTCTACCCTGTCATGGTCAATTTGCCTGCCGGCTCAATTCCTACTTCTGCACTTCCTCTGGGTGTGTCACATTACCCTGCAGTAGGAACACGTGGGAGACCCGTCAAGAGCTCATTCATAAAATGTGTGTGTGTGTGTGTGTGTGGGGGGGGGGGGGGGGGGGGGGGGTCTTATAACCTTGATAACCTACCGGCCTTGATCGGGAGTTTTGATGCCCGTCTTCCTATTCAGCTCGCTAAGGTGAACCACCTGAACCCCTACCCCTTGGTCCGTTAGGCTGTCTGTGAGTCTGACCTATCGCTGGCCCGTTTGTCTGTCTCGGTTGTTCCACGTGGGAACTGGGTTAAGCCTGAACTATGTTCAATGTCATGCGCTCCATATTCTGAGCAGCATCTCCGTTCAGTGGGTCAGAGCTTCTGTCTGTCTTTGTAAGGCCTCATCCCAAGGATCCGTACCCAACCCGTCTATTCCCATTGGGGTTTCCTCCGTATGTCTTCTAAGGTTGTTGTCCGTGAGGCCTGCTGCTCGTAGGAAGCCTTCCCTACAGCGTCCGTTAGGTCCGTAAGTCGTTCCCTGATTAGCCTCTTAGCCACGTGGTCGTCCCGGAGACCATCTACAAATACAGTAAACTACGATTATAACGAACTCAAAGGGACTTCTAATTTTACTTCGTTATAACCGTAGTTGGTTATAAGCATATATACAGCATAACTACAGCAAATAGTCGGGACCCAAAAAAAGTTCGTTATATCCGTCAGTTCGTTATAAGCGTGTTCGTTATAACCGTAGTTTACTGAATATCTACTAATATCCCTTGTATATAAGGGGGGGGGGGGGTTTGGTCGTCTGTGCTGTAGCACTCGTCTGCGAGTGTCATGAGCCTGTCCGCATACCCCTGTATTACTTCTCCCGATGCTGCTTTGGGTAATTTGTTGTGCATACTGCACATCACTAAGGTCGCTAAACCTGTTCTTAAGGGCCGTTTTTAATTCTGCCCAGGGACCATCAGGATTCTCCCTTACTCCCCTTACTAGAAAATCTGCAGCTGGTCCTACCGCTGTCTGTATAGCTAGCGTACACTTAGCTTTATCTGGAGTGAGTGAGTGAGTATGGTTTTACGCCGCTTTTAGCAATATTCCTGCAATATCACGGCGGGGGACACCAGAAATGGGCTTCACACATTGTGCCCATGTCGGGAATCGAACCCGGGTCTTCGGCGTGACGAGCGAACGCTTTAACCACTAGGCTACCCGACCGCCCCCTTTATCTGGAGCGCTTACTGAGATGCAGGCTTTTTCAACTTCCTATATCCAGTCTGTAAACCTTTTATATCCCTCCCCCGAAAACCTTCTGACTTGTTGGGGTAACATTGGGCCTGAATGGCTTTTTCTACTCTCGTTAAATGAGTGGCTACTAGGTCCCGTTTGTTCCCTTCTGCCGTTCTAACAAGCTTAGGCTATTACTATTAGCTTATTTATTTTCTTATCCTAAGCTCTATTGCATTTTCTCCCTTCCTTCACTTCCACTTTACTCTTTCATTCATAAAATGGGGGGTTCTGATAACCTTGATAACCTGCCGGCCTTGATCGGGAGATTTGATACCCTGGTCTTCCTTATTCAGGTCGCCAAGGTGAACCACCCACACCCCTCCCCCTTGGTCCGCTACTAGGTCCCGTTCGTTCCCTTCTGCCATTCTAACTAGCTCAGGCTATTACTATTTCATTATTTGCTTACTTACTTTCTTATCCAAACCTCTATTGCATTTTCTCCCTTCCTTCGCTTCCGCTTTACTCTTTCTCTCCTTCTTTTTTCTTTTGCTAACTCCTTATCCGCCTTTCTCCTCTGTATCTGGGTATAATAGGCTGACACAATATGCTCAGGTGAATTATTTTTTGCTATACCAGCAATTTTTTGTCGCGCTATCCAATTTTTCAACACGGGTGACACTATTATCCATTCTTTTAAGCCTTCCTCTATCGGCGCCGCGCTAAAAGGGCATATTCTAGCTACGCCAGCCGCTACATATCTGGGAAGGTCGTACTGTACGTTCATACTACTTCCACCAGTTACCTATTTAAGCCTACAATAAACTACGGTTAAAACGAACTCAAAGGGACCACTAATTTTAGTTCGTTATAACCGTAGTTCGTTATAAGCATATATACAGTATAACGACAGCAAATAGTCGGGACAAAAAAGTAGGTTCGTTATATCCGTCAGTTCGTTATAAGCGTGTTCGTTATAAACGTAGTTTACTGTATATAATATATATCATTATATATGTATAATATATCCTCAACTTAATGTCTCGTCAGTTAATCTCTGTTTTCCTTAACAATAATTTATATACTATAAACCAGCAGAACAAATCGAATCAGTTAGGGTAAAACTTACCTTGAGAGGTTCTACCGAATTGTTCTCAGTTCCTGGGGTGCTCTTGGTTGGAGAGTTGTCTTTCACAATCCGGGCCACGGCACCAGAAAATCGGCATGGATGTAACCCGATTCTTTGTTTTGATCTTCACATCCAGGAGACAACACAACAGGAACAAGACAACTTGATTTCGATCAGATAATAATTTAATCAAACGGTTTTACAGTAACCAGATACTTCGCAAACGTACTGGAAGCAATCTGAATTACTGGCAGCGCAGTGACCTCTGACCTATCTGCTTGAGTCCCGAAAACCGTTCTCCCCGACTGACGATTTTCCGCGTCGTTTTATTCCCCAAACTCTCTCCCTTCCAGTCTAATGATTAATTACTATGACGTCAATATGGGGACTGTTACATAGGCCCGTTCCTATTCTTTAAGTAGTCTGCCCCGTCATTCAATTCAGAGTGAGTGAGTTGGGTTTAACGCCGCTTTTAACAGTATTCCAGTCATATCACGGCGTGTCAGCTTAATGTGGGAGGAAAGCCCGAAGTGATGCACTTCGGTGAAACCCACGAGCACGGATATGGTGCTGACAAACCTAGAAACATAATCGGGTCGAACCGGGATTCGAACCCACAATCAGAGGTTTCTGGCGTGCCCAAGGGACGCAACTCTGCACAGCGAATCGCGGCGCCTTAGACGACTGGGCCACCCGCGCCCCGCATTCAATTCAGAGACCAATTAATTCAGATAACAGATAGGATCAGAAAACCAATTAATTCAGCATAATTGGCTACTACCTGCGCTCCCGTGTGATACACTTAGAGTACATTTAGAACACGTAGTTGGTACATACTAATTCCTTTACATACATTTATATTATATTCAATTTAACACTTTTCATACACTTTTTCAATCACTTTTAATTATCTTAATTATTTCTGAAGACCTATTCCTCCCGGGTCGCTTCTGTCTACTACAAATAGAGATATCTCACTGACTAAAGCTACAGTTAACCACAACAGCCATGCCATTTGATCAAGACTCGAACTGGTCATGTTTCTAGGTTTGTCATCACCTTGACCAAAGTTACCAACCAACCCCCCACCCCACCCCCCACCCCCCACCCCTTCTTCTTCGATCAAGCTGGCACCCCGTGGTATAACTGAAAACTGTTCAAAGCGGCTTAAGACCAAATTCAGACACTCAAGCTCTTATTAATATATATGTGAGTGAGTTAAGTTTTACGCTGCTTTTAGCAATATTCCAACTATATCACGCTGGGGACACCAGAAAAGGATTTCACACATTGTACCCATGTGAGGAAAAGACCGGGCCTTTGGCGTGACGAGCGAACGCTTTAACCACTAGGCTATCCAACCGCCCCCATCATAACATGTGTAATCAGTCTTTAACCAGCTCTTTAATAGCTCTTCTTATGACCTTATTATTCTGGAAAGCTAATACCGAAAAAGATTAAAACATAACCTTAATTTCGGTAAAAATGCCTCCGCCATTTCGTGATTACGCAGCACGATTTCATAAAATAGTGTAAACAAACTTTATTTCGTGTACATCATCAATATTTCTAAAGCAAACGATTTCTGATATTACGCCCTTCCTAATAATAATGTGCTTTCCCTGACCCTCCCGAGAAACTCTTAATCAAGACCCTCCCCGGATTAAAGAGACCGCCCACTGTTGGGGCGCTAACAATAAACTGGATAATAATGACAACCACTGCCATCTGCTACACTGGGCTGAATGTGCATTGAATCAGATACAGTTTCAATTACTAATTTACCAATAGAGGTTCACTCCGTAAACATTCCAAAATTAGATAAAAATAAAACATAACAAAAGGCAAATATAGATCTAGTGTATAAAATCAGTCGTACTGCATATATTTTTAGTATTGCCTTTTTTTAAAAATGTATATTTGTACCGTAAACAGACAGGGTCGTTATGTTATTTTTTGTTAACATTACGCAAATATCAGATGTTTGAGGCGACCCGATATTGTTATGGTCCGATTTCTATGAAGTAATTCGTTGGATAACCAAAAACGAGAACCAGTTCTGGGTCAAAATCGATAATGAGTATCCCACCACAATTTTACATTTCTATGAAAACTCAGACGGTCCCAGACTAATTGTAACTGTGGGTGATACGTAGAGAAACAATTCATTAACCACAGACGCGGAAACGTGCCATTTGCACATTCTAGCTAGCCTACATCTGGTACCATTTTCCATTCTGTGTCCCGTATGGAAACTGGCAGGTGCGTCAACGGGCATTATATTTAACCAACAACTAGTTACAGCATCAGTGAACCTCAGATGAAAGAGCGAACGTGTGCGCACTTTCTGTCCGTCAGGTATCATTGTGACAAACATAACGTATAAATATTATATTTTCTAATATAATATTTAGAATATATCATGCGTTCTTAATAATAAAATGATGGATAATCTTAGGAATTATAACACATAAATCATTATCATCTTGTAACATACGTAAACCTTTTCCTAATAAAAGTATAGCTATCGTATATTGATATGGATGTTATTTTTAAAAATCTTGTTTGAAGTTAAAAATAACAACTTTTGAATAAACATGCGCATACTGAGTTCACACTTCACTTATGTAGGTTCGCGTGAGGATAGCGACAATAACTAATATCAGTTCTGTGGGAAGGAGTATCTCTTGGAAAAATTATGCTAATGTGCCAAAATGGCGACTCTTGAAGACGATAGAAGGAATTATATTAACCGAATATTGACTATTTTACCGTGATAACACAAAGAGAAAATGTAGTGGTAAGTTCGTATGGTTTTCAAGTTTTAAAATCCTCACTTTTATCCCTGATGTTGGGATAGTGTCGGCACTGTGTCGATTTTACCAAAGCCTGTTACGGGCACCGCTGCCAAACGCTCGCAGACGGTTGTAAGACCGTGTATCGGCATGTGTAATACAGACATGTTGATATGAGATTTATTCAACGGTTAATCAGGCTGGTACATGGTTTTCGACAGTTTCACGCAATGACTTCAAGATTAGGTTGTTTGTAGTGTGTTCTGCCTTTTTGACAGAAGTAATAGATTATACATAGAACCTAATCGATTTTTGTTTTCTTTAGATATATGCGATGTGTACGTTTTAGGGGAAATATGGACGATGTGTATTCTGGTCCATTTCTTCTCGTACCTGGTGATGTTTTATTTTTGTTATTACACATTGGCTTGTTTTACATTCTTTAAAAGTCCACCAACGAGTAATTGTTTCCGCAAAACATATTAATATATATTATATGTTTATCGGTCATCATGGTCATGTCACTGTAACCCAGTCTTTTAAATAATTTTCATTTTAAGCTTTTCTACGTTTGTGTTGAAATTCTCAAATTAATTGTTGAGAAGAAAATGACATGGAAAAGATAAATAATTGATGTTGATTATACCATGCTCATGGTTATGATTATGTATGATTATATTAATTAATATTGTTCATTATCATCAGCATTATCAGTGTGAATGCCTTTAGGTAAATAATCTTTGATCATGTTTATCACATTTTCTGCATCAATTTATATCAATATGTGGAATGGTGTGAGGTATTCTTGTTTTCAGTCACAGGTTTGAGTTTACACAGTCCGCATATCATGATAATATTGCTGACTGCAGCAATATTCATTCCTTTGCTGTCTCACTAAGTTTGTAATTTCTATAGAGAGGGAGAGTCGTACGGATTTGATGACAAATGCTTAACTGGGCTGAGTTGCCATTATTACGTTCATCCCTTTTTCATCAGTGCGTATCATGTTTAGGTTGTTTATCATGTTTATCATATTTAGGTTGTTTATGATATGAGCATGGTTAGGTAGTGACTTGTTTTTGTTGGTCTTTACCATGTTTATTATGTTTTTGAATCGACGGTTTCCATAATTCTCATGAATGATTTAAAAATTGTTTTAATATGAACCAAATTGATGTAGTTTTTTTTTAATGTCTCCATTGCCTCAATGCTAATCATGTTCATACTTATATCATGTATATATACATATTCCTCAACAAAGTGCCAGGTAGCTGTCCAGTATAAAGAGCTGGCCTTTATTAATGAAGGCATTCGTGGTGTAGTGGATAAAGAGGAGTGGAATGTAGGGGGTTCAATCCCTGGCCATATCATACCAAAAGACGTTAAAAGATGGTACTTGTTGTTTCCCTGCCTGGCGTTCAGCATTAAAGGCAGACCAGGACTGGTCAACTCGGAGTCAGTTAATGTCTCCGAGCTGAGTGTTGACTGCGGCATGATATCTCAATGGGCTCACACTTTCAAACTGGCACGCGCACACATGCTCACATACCTGCATGCTCGGCATCGCTATATCAGCCGCAGACGTAACGTGTACGCGTGACGGCTCTGCCGTCTCTTGTACGCGAGACGGGTGCGGTCCGCAGTACTCAGCGAAGCGCTTGAAAATGGGTGTGCGTTGGTGTGCGTGAAATAATTTATATATTTTGTAACTCTACGATGAATAAGCTTTTAGAAAATACTACGTGTTGGTTTCTGAAAAATATGTACATAGGAGAAAACCGCTGTCAAAAACAGAACATTTTGCTCGATTTTTGCACAATTTTCTCCCAATTTGACCGTTAATTATTTTTCTTATGACATTTTTTTCATGTCATTCGATAACTAGTAGAATGATCAATAACTGTACTTAATTTTGTTTTATTATTTTCACAAATAACGCTTGTAGAGACATTTTTGTGCAACATGCAGAAATCCATGTTCCACTGACAGGCTGCACGCATACGAGTGACCCCCTCTCAGGTGGTCACTTGTACGCGAGACGGAAGAGCTGTCTCGCGTACACGTTACGTCCTCTACTGTATATTAATGCAATAATCTTGAACACAATGTTAAATCACTCCTTACCTCCATGTTAATTGTTTTGGGGGACCTGAAATGTTCACTTGAGTTCTTCAATGAGAAAGTTCTTCTGTGATTCGACATTCCATGTGTGACCATTCACAAAGGATAAATTTGAAAAATGCTTTTCCATAATTACAAAAGTAATATGTTTCTACAAAATATAAATAATTATGTTTTGCACAGCTTTGTTTCCAACGTCAGAGAGAAAGTCAATTAACATTTGTCTACTGCATCGAAATATAATTAATAAAGTCGAGGGCGAGAGATATTTTTCAATGGAAATCATGCGACATCATATTCATTATGACTGAAATGGACGTCCATGCTTTTATACATTTAAACACTTCTCACAAGCATGTATGCATGTTCTATACGTGCAGTAATCTTGAATGCACCATATACCCCATTTGACCCAACCTCACCTCTATCATGTCTATTAAAATCTAAAGATTAATTTATTGTGTACCGATAGTCAACTGAGGATATGTTATATTACATTAATAAGTTTTAAGATAAGATTTTCAAGGGACAGTGGGTTAGCTCAGTAGTAAAATCATCTGTGTATTAGGGCTGGGACCATTAACTCAGGTACTCTGG